AGAGGTGGTAAGTGACAAAATTTTTTGATTAGGATTATGAGTGAAGAGAAGTATAGGAAGCCGTGGGAGGAGAGGTCAATAAGTACGGGAGCAGTGTTGTCGAGACAGTGTAAGGAATTAGAAGAGGAAGTAGGTGATAGAAAAAATAGGAGAGTGAAGGAAGAATTTCTGTTACGGGAAGGTTGGAGTAGGACGGTAAGTGAAGAGGTGTAAGAGAATCCGTGGGGAGGAAAGGTGAATTGGTACAAGAAGGGTGAGTCGGGAGAAACAGAATACGTATGGGAGAATGGGAAGCGGAATGTTGAGAGAGAAAGGGAGGTAAGAAGGGAAGTAGGGAACGTCTTCTGATAGTCGTGTAGGGCACAGAGTGGGTGATAGTGATAGATAAAAGAGTGCGGTGAGACGAGGAACACAGAGATGAAGGAAGTGAGGGACTGAGAGGGGGGAGTGGTTGGAAAGAGTTGCAGTTGCAGGTGTGGTGAGGGGTGAAGTGAGATGAAGAGAAAGGGGATTGGGAAATAGGATAGGGAACAATGAGCGTGTGCATGTATGGGTTGTGTGTGTGCTATGTAAATATGATTGTGACTTTGAAAACTGCATGAAAATATTGATTGTTTATCAGTAATTGAAGTTGGAATAACTGGCATGTAGGTTAAGAATGCATGTATGTGTGGTGTATTGAGTATGGATGTGGCGATGTTGTATTAGTGGTGGTCGAGGTTGGGACGCTGATATTGGTTATTGTCACTCAAAAAGGTAAGTCGATCGCCGATATTAGAGATGTCTGAGAGTTGCCAGATTGGTAACGAACTGTGTTGGTGATGTTGGTGACGAAAAGAAATAATAACAGTGTGTGTGTGGGTGGCCAGCTGGGGGTCGAGTGGTGGAAAAGAAAAAAGGGTCGCCGATATTGGTGACAGATGGGGGGTATTATCAGGGGGTAACAATGTGGGTGAATGGCCGGGTCAGGGCCGATGGGATGGTATTATGGGGTGACTACACCTAGTAGAGTTGACAATTTATCATCAAGGAGATGTGATAGTTACGGTAGAGTTAGATGAGTAATAGTGAAGGATTGTGGGTAGAAAAGAAGGCGTGACCAATGTAACGGGAAGGAAAAACATAGAAGAATGAGCTTTTAATTGGGTTTTCATGCTATATCTGTGATTTAAATTTACTGTGCTGAGTTGTATGTAGTCATTCTTTATCAATTATAGATGAAGTAGGACTGGGGACTGGATCAGAGCTGCGGGTTTCTGAACCTAACGTATAGAGGAGATGGAGCAGAGATTACGATTAGTAAAACGAGATAATTACGTATTTGGTAGCAATGTAACTTATGTTTAAAACGAGGATTTGTGAAATTCATAAGATACTATATTGATGCATATACTGTAACACCCAAAACTTTTCTTTTATTTTATTTTAATTTTTATTGGGATTTTTGTTTAATTTTATTCTATTTTAATAATTAATTTATAAGATTTTAATTTAATTTAATAAAAATAAAAATAATAAAAATAATAAAATGGGGTAAAATTATTTTTGGGATTTAATTGAAATTGATTTTAGGAAAAATGGGTGAAAATTTGGATTCTGGGGGTGTTTTTGAAAAGAAAATCGAAAATAGGGGGTCAAAACGTAATTTAAAAAAATAGTACCACGTCAGCAGTCACGTTAACAGTCCGGTCAGTAGCCTCAGCCAACCAGGACGCTGACGCGGGGAGCCACGTGGGCGATCCACGTGCGCGTGATCGGACGACCCAGATCCGTTCCCGTGCGCACGGACGGCCTAGATCTCACGTGTGCGGATGGCCCAGATTTGATCACGCACGGACGACCCAAATTTATTTCTAATTTAATCGCGATTGAATGGCCCAGATTAAAAGGGGAAGGTTATAAATAATCGCATCCATACCCAATCCCAAACCCTAGCCGCCAGAACCCTCGCCGGAGAAGACGACCCAGCCACAGGAGGAACCAGGCGCCGCCACCCCCCACCGCACCGGAGGACTTTTTGGCTGTCAAACGAGGTAAAATTTCTTCTCTTGGCTCGTTTTTCGATGCTAAACCTCTCTGTGGCCAAATCAGAGCTAAACCACCGGCCAATTGGCTGGAAAACACTGTCGAAGTCCAGCGGCGCCGCTGCGGGTTTTCTCAATTTTTGCCTCCGATGAGGCCCTTCTCGGTTCCCGTTCGATGTAATTTTTATACCACCGTGACCACCGTCCTTTTCTCTACAGGTTGACCGGAGCAAAATACCAAATTGCAACTCGCGCCGGAGGAGTCGCCGCACCTGAGAGCCCCGCCGGCGGTAAGTCTTGGTTTTTTGTAATTTTTTGGCCCACCGAGGGCCTTACGGGTGTTTTATCACAGGAACCAATGCAAGTTTGGCCGAATTCAGCTGAAAACGGCCAATCCAAGGTGGATCGCCGACGTGGGCGGCAGCGGCGCCGTGCCAGAATTCTGAAATTGGTTGAAAAGACCCTGGGTCTGATTTGGGGTATTTTGGGGGACATGTGCAGGTACCGGAATTGTGTTTCAGTTTCCAGGAAAAAAATTTAGGGAATCTAGGGACTGCCTGTAGGCACAGTGAGAACCCGATTTCAGACTGCGAAACAAGTAAGGATCCCTTATCCTATTTCCTATCACGGCATTAAAGTTTAGTAAATGATAAAATGGTATTTTATGAATTAATAGATATGTATAATTAATTAAGATTGCTAATGGGGCCCGAACATGATGTATTTATCGGATTATTTCAGTTTGATGTATTTTACAGTCTAAATGCAGTATAGTATCTGATTGTTTATTCTCTGGTTCCGTATGCATGAATAACTGTTTAATTTATCATGTTTTGAATTATTGTGAACCCAATGTTGTGTTGCCTTATTTGGTGTGCGTTGCTGGTTTACGTATTTATGTTAATTGGGTAATTGAGAATAAGAAAAATAAGGACGGTATGTGAATTTATAAGTGGATAAGTCGACAGCCTCACTAGATATCCTGAGAGATGGTGGACGGACTGGCTCCATAGGGAATCTTACCGGGAACGTGGTCTCTCATATTGGACGGGGTATGGAGATTTTATGTGTTTTGCCACCCATACCAGACGGGGTATGGAGACGACCCGTTTCACTCTCATACCGGACGGGGTATTGAGGTTTATGGTTTTGGCGCCCATACCGGATGGGGTATGAGGATGGCCCTGGAATTAAGTTATTAATGTGAATGGTTCACGTGTAGCAGGAACTCCCTATAGATCCCCATGGGTACTAGTAGGTTGATAAAAGAGGAAATTTATTATCTGATGATTGAAATACAAAAGCATGATGTGTTATGTTACAGAGTGTGCATGATCTTATGATGTTTATGATGTTATTATTGCTCATAAGTTGTTTTCATGAATCTCACCGAGATAAGTGGACAGTAAAGGTTTTTATTATTGATAAATGAGTTTGTTATAAATTATGCTTCATTGGTCGTTTTTGTTTTCTACCAACCTTTACTTCTGTGACAGTGTGATAGTGTGATGTCTTTACTGGGGTAGTGTAGCTCATTCCTTACTTAACCATTTCAGATCAGGAAGACTTGGTTCTCGAGCCCGTCCTGCAGGAAGACGGCGAGTAGATGTCTAAAGATTTTATAGTTTTATTTATAACATTCATCTCCAGTATTTACTTCATTTAATTTATTCTTTAATACGTTTAGTACGTTTGGATTATTGTGTAAAGGATATTAATCAAAATTTTTGTTCCGCTTCCGCACTCAAGATTTTTCTTATATATACATTTCCTTTTCAAATTCTGAAACTGTTACATATACAGGTGAGAAATTTTTAGAAATTGAGCAATTGATTTTCAGTAACTCCTTTATATGTATGATTAAATTGGTTGATGGAACGAGATATGTGTGTCCTGTATGCTAATATGATTGAGATAATGCCACTGGAAAAAAAAAATAGAGCGTTACAGTTTTTTAGACTATAATTTTTATTTATTTAGCCCTAATTTTTTTTTTTGTTGGCTAGATCACTTTAGACTGAACGACGAGAAAAAAAACTGTAATTTGCCTTCTATGCTCTTTTACCTTTTATCAGAGATATTTACAATTAGAGCTCCTCCAATTACCAAATAGCATCACCCCATTTGAGTGTCTCCCATGGAACATTTCCTTAGATGAACATAAAATATATAAAATTTTTGTTAATTCCTTCATTAACAAATAAAATTAGAAATTCGTGCATGTAAAATTGAAAATTAGAATAGATTTAAATCAGTTATATCTCAAATAATCCTAATTATAATTAATTCTTATATATCAAATAACTAAAAAGTTAAAAATTAAACTAAAATAAAGTAGGTTTCAACCAATCTTAACTCTTTTTTGATATAAAATAGATGAAAGTTGGAAGTTACTGTTCCACTCAAGATCAAGATTACACCTTGAATAGAAGAAATCCATGAAGGAAGAAAGAAGCTTTACTTTACTCCTAACCCCTCTCTTTCTTTTTCATTCTTTAATATATATATATAGTAGAACAGTTGCAGCAATCGATGTTGGAAATTCAATTTTCAGTGCGTAAATATCCCAAAGATGGAAGGCTTGCCTGCCTAACTCTTTTTATGGGGCTGAGCATCAAAGAAGAATAATTGGGCATGACATAGCTTGTCGCTAGCAAATAAATATTCATATGCTGATTTACACGGTGGATTCAACTTAACTGCAGGCTGATTGAGGCTTTGTTGTTGCTTTTTGATATTTGTCTTGGCCTCTGAATTACGTAGCTTTTAACTTCTCCACTTTGAGATGGCTCCTACCTTCGGAGTAAAGAATGCCCTTGGGGGAAAGAAGGCGTTGGAGGGCAAGGAAAAAACGAGCCTGAAAATGTTTAAATTTGTGCTTAAATGAAAAGTCTGAATGCAGATAGCTTGTGTTTGTCATTTCCTATCAACTTAAGGTTTTGAGATAATTTGTTACGGTCACTTATTTCACGGTAGTGCCAAAGCTAAAGATCTAGTTTCAATCCTGACTTTCACCTAATTTTTCTTATTAACACTTGTAACTTAGTGGGAGGCATGTAAATGTACAAATAATAAATTGAAAACTTCCCAGTCAGATTAAGCTTTTAAAGTAATTGATGAGTAATCAATTTTTAACTAAAGAGTGGTTGGTGTTTACCCATTGAAATCCTACGAGCGAATACCAGCAACCAGACAAGCCAAATCCTCCACTGCTCAAAAACTGGTAACAAGCAAGTCAAGATTTTGGAAATCCATATAACTTTTAGCATGAATTTTGAGGAGTACAGAAATATGAGTCTACCATTACTAGAAGACCACACAAGGCAAAGCATCCGCTCATAGACAAGCTGAAAAATTTAAGATCTCGTCCAGCCTGTACAAGCAAACAGATAATGTGACTCCCATAGAGCAGCAATCGGACCATTAAGGGATTAAAAACCTCCCTAGGATCTTTAAGTTTTGCTATGGCTATGAACAAAAAAACTTGGTCCAGTATAAAGGATGCCCTGTTTTCCAGTATATTCATGCATGAAAAACAATCATACAAGTACACATTGGAAACCAAACATACCAGCAGTGTGCCCTCAAGGCTATGAGTACTGGGTGTCACTGCTAAAGCAAGAAAATATGGTATTAACACCTTGTGCATCTGCAAAGGAATGAGGTAACATTACAAATCTGAGTCTTAAGTGATACAAATGAAGATTAACATTCAAGTCAATAGAATAATTGCAGTTTACTAATTAATTTCTTTCGGGATAGACATCATAACCAGAACAACCAATGAATTCGACGTAACTGATAGGACATGCCCAAGGGAAATATAGCTAAAACTTAAAAATAACATAATGATTATCTGAATTTAGTTTCTAATCCATTGAGAAGGTTCATATATCACTGGACTCAAAACAAGATTAAGGGTGACACTTAACAGTAAGATCCATTATCAGTAGCAAAATTTTTACTTCCCCAGCATTTTACTCTATCAAAAGCTGAAGATTATATCATGACTGATGGTAATCAACACAGAATAATACAACTAATTTGATGATACTTTCACGATACCAAAGACCACTAAGTACCAATAAATGAAATGAAAATAGAGATTATGTTAAAAATTTTGAAAGAGAGCAAACCTCCTGTACTACATTCAAATCAGACGTGAAAATACCAGGGAACAACCAAGGAACAGCTGTTCCGATAGTTCCTAATATCAGTCCAAGTGTAGCTCCAATGACCACAAGTGACTTTAGGAGCATCCTGGCCTGTTAGAAATCATAAAGCTTTCAGAACACTTTTTCCAAGCAAACCCATGTGCAGAGAGATTTTCAACCAAATATCACCCATCATATACTTTAATCAGTACTAACTGTTTTGTGCCAAGAAGAAAAATGGAAAATCTCAAATTGTCAAGTAAACATAGTTGGAGATCATGTAGCAAAGGTTTTGAATGAGTTGATCCATTGGCACTGAATAGAACTGCAAATCACTAACCTTTGCCAAATTTTGACCAACTCCGTACATCAACTCAGGCATAAATGATTGTGCAGTTTGAGAGAGGGGCTCTCCCCAGACTGTGCACATGCCATATGTTTGAAGCATAACCTATAATGGAGCTTACAAGTTACAAATATACATAATATCAGTTTTCAAAAAATTATTAGAATTAACTACGCATGTAAATCTAACCTGGTGAGCAGCCACAACGTGTGTGCCCATCGATGTAGCAAAGTATATAAGAAGACCGTAGAAAGCTACCTAAGAATTAAAAAAAGCCTCCAAGTCAAGAAGAGATTCAAACTATAGCAGATATTGCCATGAAATTTGGAGTAGGCATAACCTTTGACATCATAGTTACAAAGACTGGAGCAGCAAGCCCAAGTATTGTCAAAAGTTCATTAGCAGATGGAACAGAAATGGAATATGCATTATATCCCTTCTTGTTTAGAGATTGGATCATCATATAAGCTGCAACAACCTAGAACATGCTGGTCAGTAACAATACAGAAAAGAAACATGCACAAACAAATCTGTGAATGCTGGATGTAAAATGTCAGTGAGAACCCGTGATTAAGAGATTGAAAGCATATATAATTAAAACTGTAGAAATGTCTACTCAGCTTACTTGAGATACCATTGTTGCCCATGCTGCACCAGCAATACCAAATCCTAAAAATCTACATAAGACTACATCACCAATGCCATTTATTGCTGTGGCAACTGCCAAAGCCTTCAGAGGTCCCCAGGAATCTTTCATGCCAAGACTTGAAAACAGAAAAAGAATGTTATGACACAATCACAATTGCTAATAATTTTGAATTATTTGTTGATTTTGATATGAGAATAACTGACACAAGATAATGGGCTGTCGATTGAACTAATAAACAGATGCTGGAACTGAGTGGAGCACATTGTGCAATGCACATGGGAAATAAAGTGCATCCATCTTCAAGATTTTCTATAGGGACATACTGCTCTTTTTTATAAGGTGGTCAAACTAATAAGTGTAAGATCGATAACTTTATTTTACTTATTTCAGCAAACATGTAATCTAGCCCCACTTTTCCTGAAGGTTACAAGACTCAAGATGTTGTATATAACCTACTTCTTGCTGTGGCTGGCTCACTAAATGCAACCTAGAAAAGCAAATTGAACAGGCCTATGCCGACCTAGATAATTTGCAGCGTATTCATACCTTGCACTTTGAGCAATGAATCCAACAAGAACAGCTGGCCATGCTAAGCCTCGAATCTAGAACAAAAGAATATCTATTGATATAAAATAATTGCAATGCATCAAAGAGGAAAAATATCAAAGTTTTATTTCCTTAAGACAGCTTTATGTTGGTGTGGAAATGTCACCAGATTGCAAGTTCTCATTTATTCATGTATATATCAGCTTAATGTGTCAGATTCAACAATTATTCAAGATAGATAATGGATAATTGTTAACCTTCCAATTGAATATAAGAAGAAGGTAACAGAACCTACTTGAGTAACAGCTTAACAAGTGTACGCAAGGTTTACCATGGAAGACCATTACCATCCTTATGTCAGCTTCAAGAGCAGTAAGTGCAAGAGAAGTGGAACCAACAAAAAAGTTACTATTATGGTTATTATTTTTTTTTTGAGACAAAACCATTATGGTAATCACTCCCTTCAGTAAAATTGATCTTAAATTTCCTTGATAAAGAACAAACAAGTAAAAAATATAACAATAACTTAGAATGTTTACATTTAAAAAGAACACATGAAGAATTAAATCAGAGAGGGCATGGACCTGAATATATTCGTTTGCTGCAGGTACAAGATCTACATTTTTTGGTCCAGTAAAAGCTGAAATTGCAATGAATATTAAGTTAATTCATTCTTCATTAAGTTGACTCCATTACTAATCTTTTGTATCTGTCACACAGAACATACTACCACCTAAAAACAATCAAGAAACTCATGTATTCATGGTGCAAAATAAATCAAAAGCTTCACCAGTCTCTATTACCAGTCAATGCCCAGAGCCCAAACAATCTCGTAGCCAAAAGCATTGATAATCCACAAACCAAGCCAACAAAAAGCAAGATTGATATTTGGTGCTGCACTTCATTTTTATCCTGCAGCAATACTATCTGGTCAAACAACACAGCTTAAAACAGAGTAGTTAAAAGACCTAGCATGAACTTGCGAACCAACAAGGAAGCCAGTGAAGCAGTATATGCTAATAAGAGGCAATGAAACAGTACGAGAAACAACTAACCCGTCTGGCAAGAGAAGTGGCTACCAAATTCGATGTGGCTACGGAAAGGAACATGAATACATAACCCGTATAGTCACAAACAACCGTTGCTGGGCCTATCCAATAATTTCCATAAACAAAAATTAATTTTCTATACTAATCCTAAAACTTTAGAGATACTGTTTTTCTGCTTTTCTTTCTCAATATCCAATCAGAGAAAAAGAAGGTAAAGAAAAACTGAAGTTTAAGATTTCGCAAGAAGTACCTAAAGCAGCAAGCTCAAGTGAGCTTCCTTGACCAATAACCGCAGTGTCAATGAGACTCATCAACGGCCCGCAAATCCACAACCCCGTGGCAGGTGCTGTAAACATAACTATCTCCTTCATCTGATTCCATATACTCTGATCAGCCAAGTCCTCGCTCTTTATCTCCATCCCTCTCTCTTCCTCCTGCTCCTTCGGTTCAACAACAGAATCGTTTCCACCATTGTCACTGACAACAAATTCTTCACAAGAGCTAATGCAATCATTGACAAACCGATTCCGATGCTTCTCTTGGTTGTAAACGAGTAACTTTGAAGGGAATAAATAGCCGTTAATGCTTAAAAGAGGTCGTGGCTTTCTGCTGAAACGGATTGAACATTCGGAGGGTTGTTTGAGATTAGGGTTTTGAAGATGAAACAAAGAAGAAAACGTTAGGGTTTTGGTTCTGATTATCATTTTTCCTTTTTTTGGTATGAAGCAACTAAAATGATGCGAGGAAGATAGAGAGTGCCGCCTGAAAAATGGGGAAGGGGTGTGTTTTCAGGCGTTAACGGTATTCGGCGGCAACCTTCTGGTATCAGTAAACGTCAGCGTTTCAAAAGCTTCACCAACGGAAAACTGACGACCACGGGAAAGAGACGTGATATTTGCCGTTGGATTTGTTTAGGTAGCTTGATCTTAACCGTACATTTGAATGGAGAGAAAGGAGGAGAAAGAAAAATGGAGGAAAAAAAGAAGAAGTTCATAATTATTTTTATTTAAATAAATAATTAATAAAAGAATTAAAAACAATATATACTGAGGATTCTATTTAGAGAAATAAGTATTAAGCAAAAGATGAGATGAAAAATTAATTTAAATTTATTTATTTTATATTTTATTCCTAATTATATAATTTTAATAAATAATATATTTTAAATGATTTTTTTATTTAAATCAAATAAAATATTATAATTTTTTTTTTTTGTTACAATGCTTAAATTATGATTTAATAGTAAATAATTTTAGTAAAGATAACTACCAATTTTTTTAAAAAAAAAAAAATTGCAGCACAATTGTTAATTAGATTTTGCTATCCGAATATGAACCATAAGCATATTAAATTAACTGAATTTTTATGTTTTTTATAATTTAACATAAAAATAGTTTATTATAAATTGTGCTGACTAAATTAATTTTATTTTTATATTTAATTTCATAATTATTGAATAAATTTTAAAAAGTATTTAATTTGAATTATATAAAATTAATTTAGAATATTGTTTTGATTAATTTTTAAATAATATTTATACCTATCTAGATTTCTAAATATAATCATAGAAAAAGTTAAGGTTATAATAATAGTGGCACTACAAAAAATTGGTAGCTTTATAAAAAATAATGTATAAGTTTTAAATTATTTAAAATGCATTAAAAAATTAAAAGGATAAAATTATAATATATTTTTTTTTACTATTTTACCGAGACTCATCATTGTCATAAAGCTAGGAAATAAATTTTAATTATTTTAATTTTTAATTTTTATTTAATTTTAATAAATAAAAATAATATTTTTAATAAAATTTATTCAAAAATATGATATATGAAAAATCGCAATTTTATTCAAAAGTTAAAAGGCATGATTCCAATAAAATATTTTATAAGAGTAAACTTTTTGAAGAAGCATTCACAAAAATGATTAGTACTTATTATAATTTTTTAAAAATAAAAATTGTTAAATAGTATTAATAATGATAATTTACACTTGTTCCTTTAACAAAAAAAATCTTTTAAGTATGATGAAATTTATTTTTATTATACTTTAAAAGGTTTATTTAAAAATATTTTATATTTTAAAATTTCTTTTATTAGTTATTATGATAATTTTAACGGAACTATTTTCGAGTAACAAAATAAACTATTCTATTTCCGGTTTAGTAAAGTATATATTATAGACATCATAATTTATAAAGTATTTACCTTACAATAAATTAAAATCTAAATCATTCAAATAAAAATAATTACTCAAAACTTGCTTACGTACCAAAATTTTTTCATTCGCTATTGTTAAACATTATTATATAAAAATATCAATAACATTAATTTATTAATGCTATATTAATAATGAGGATACGTTACAATAAATGTTTTTACCTTATTAGTAATCTTTATACATTATTATATCAAAGAATTAGGGATATTAATTCCGTAGTATAACTTTAACAATAAATAAATAAGATAAAAAAATGTAATTATTTTTAATATATATTAATATATTTTAATAATTAAATAAAATCAATGCACCGATGGCAATGCAAGTTTTAGTTTTTCTTTTAAGGAAAAAAACAAACATTAAGACTTTCCCCAGTAAATAAATCATAATATTCAATTCATTTATACAAATATGGTATAATAATTTGCAATGGGAAAAGGTGGGATGAATTTGATGATGGTGGATGTCAGTCGAGGATGATTCCTCCAAATTTTATATAAAAAGTATATTATTAAAGTATTTAAAAAAAATTTAATTTATTGATTAATATTTTAAAATCTATAAAATTATATTAAATAATATAATATTTGAAAT